TTTTTTTTAAAAATTTGAAAAACCCCCCCCCCCCCCCAAAAAAAAAAAAAAAAAAAAAAAAAAAAAAAAAAAAAAATTGTTTCCCGCGTTTTCAATTTTTTCAAGTTTTACACTGAAAACGCTCAAAACGACAAAAAAGTCGTTTTGTGTTTTCTTCACAAATTTTTTTTCGTTTTCGAAAATTCGTTTTCGAAAACGGGAAAGAGAACGCGTTTTCACCGTTTTGAAAAATCGAAAACAGAAAACGACCTGAAAACGGTAAAGAGAACAGGGCCTAAATTTTCCCACTTTCATTTTCATCTCACTAAAATTCTATGCCTACAGATACAGCGAATGGATAGACGAGTGTGAACTTGTCAATTACTATGAAGAAGATGGCAAATAGATGGGGGACTCGGAGAAGTTTCATCCTCGGCATGTGCTTTCTGATGGCTAATGCCCATTATCATATCTTCCGAAGACATTGTGTGTATATGTTTGCAAAACTATATACTATTACGTCGTTATCTTTGAAGTGACGTTTCAGACGAGAGTAAAGAGTATGTATGGATAACTTCCAGTATCTTGGGTTAATGGATTTTCATCAATTAATAAAATTGCTTTCTTCGGCAATTTTATTCTTTCTGTGAGAACTTCCGAGTAGGAGAGGCATTCGGAGCAAGCTTCTCCTTCATTTCATTTTATCACCACTGCTTTGGCGATCGCGACTGAATGAATGCCGTGGTTCGCATTATAAGGAAAGATTAGCAAAGCGAAATAAGAAAGGGAGAGAGACCAGCAACCTATTCTTTTCCGAATTGATGAAGCAGCATTCGGACCAGGCTTCTCAATCATTTCATTGGCAGAAACGACCCAATGGTCAATCTAAACATATTCTACAAGTACTAGAGAATTTAAAATCAATTAGTAGAGAATTTAAAATTAAGCTTCTTTTTTATGGAGATTGAAATCAAATTTTCAGTAGATTTTGATAAAAGTTGACGAAATGTGTAGTTAAAAAGTTTTGAAATCCATAGAACATGTGGTTAAAATCAACGGGATCATCCTCTACTCATAAATTTGACACATTTATTTGACAAATAATTATTTAAGTCAATTCAATGCTCTATATATTTTACTAAGGTCCCGTTTGGGAGTCATCCAAAAATTAATTTTTTGATTATTATTTTACTATTTCAATCGTAATTTTTGACTTCTTATCTCACAAGGGTCCCCACTTTTCTTCTAATAACCAAAAAATCAATTTTCAAAATCACTACCAAAAATGATATTGAGCGTTGAATTAATTTAAATTAAAGGCCACGCTTATTTGTAAAATTTATGAGTAGAAGGTACGATTTCGTAAAATTAATTGTTGACTTTTGATTTAAATTAATATCTAAATTAAGGTCTTTATTAAAATGAGGAAGAAAGCGTAGGTTCACTAATGTCGACGAAAATCGTTATCGTTTCTCATGATAACGGGTGCATTAAGAAGCAATTTAGTTCACAAAAACGATTTCTCCTTCGTCTTCTACAGCTTTTCCTCCTCTCCTATTTCTCTGATTTCGTGAAAAATAGTTGGTCGTTTTGCCACAGTAACTGATGGGACGACCAGCGAGCAACGGGGCCCCCTCCTTCCGGTTTAACCATGCTGAGGTTATATTCACAATTCTTCTCTCTTTAGACGGAAACCCACAAGAATCTGCAAGTGAATCTTCTAGTTAATGTCGAAATATTATTTTCTGAGAAACTGATTATGTTTATCTCAATTTTTTGATATTCTTTATGTTTCTTATATCTTGGTTCTCCCATAATTTTAGCATCTTCGTTTAATAAAATTTCCTCTTCGATTTTGATTAGAACTTTGCTTTCTTTCTTTCTTTCTTTCTTTTTTCTCTGAAAGTTAGGGACCGAAATTAAAAAAATAAAAAAGAAATTCTTTGGTGCCCGCACTCGTTTTATGCAAAATTGGGGATCTCTGGTGAAAGTTTCGTAAAGAGTATAAAAACTGGTATTTAGGTTAAGACGTACACTTGAGCAATTCATAAAGGATGTGAAAACTAGTGGTTTAACTGAGACAATGGACTGAATAAAGAAAAATGATTTAGTGGTATTCTTGAAGTCATCTTGTCAATGGATAGATGCATAAACATGAATTTAGTTCTTGGGTTATTAAGTAAATGATTGGGAGTGCTTATGAGGAGCTTTGAAGCTCTCACAATTCTTAGCCCAAGCCCTTACAAGTTGATTATATTTCTCTTGTTCAAGCTATGTGGTGTTTTACCCTCAACATATTCACAGTTGGTTGCATTGAAACATTGATCTTGAAATCTCACAGCTTGTATGAGCTTTTTAGATGATTCGAATGGCTGGGTGTTTTTTTGGGCTACCTAGTCATGCGTTTGCAACTTAAAAGTTGAAGCTTGCTAAGATGGTTGTCAACCACATTGACCATCTTGTAAATTATAAAATTTTAAATGAGTTGTTAACACGATGTTGAACCAGGTAAGACTTGGTTCAAATCTGTGAACATGTTAGATCTTTGGTCAAAAAATATCTGGTCGTGACAGGGGCTTGTTGAATGCAAGATTTAAATGGATACATGAATCCCTTTCTAACGGCATAAGCTTTTAAATTAGACGGTTAATATAGGCATGTGTTATTGTAGGCCATAGACTGTTTCCCTTGGCAAGAATAAGCTATACATTCATATTACCTATTTTTCTTGTGTTGCAATTTCATTTCATTTTAATAACGTGAATACTTTAAAACCACTTTCAAATGGTTTCAGCTAAGTTCATGCAAAAGCCACACGGTAATTATAAAATAGGAGGCATATTTATTGAACTTAATGTAGCCAGTTTCTTTTTATCAGAATTCCAAAAGCTCTCTTCTGATTTTTCTTGTGAAATAATCACTATGAATGAATATGAAATTTTTGAAATTTTCATGAAAAATATAATGTTTTCTTTCTTCTGGGTAATTATTAAATGGAGCTTCAGACTTTCAGTCCGCTGTAGCCTTCTGCTGTTACAATTGAATCCTTGCTGCTCAAGGTGTACGATGCCTAGTTGTTAGGATCTAAATTTATCTGCTTCAACAAATTATGTGCTGCCATGTTTTCTGACCTTCTGGACATGCGTTTCTAAACCGGGCGCTGTATCATTTAGACCAAGAAACTAGGGATGCTAAATGGGCCGAGCCAAGTCGTTAGGCTCTCCCAACATCGAGTGGCAAGCCAAGTGCGAACTGGCTTGTTTCCTTAAATCCTGGCTCACTTATCCCCCACCAACTCACCCTTTGCTGGGATGAATCTGGCTGACTTGTAAGCCACTTGCAGTTTATGTTTTTAATCTAATAACTTGTTTGATGCCCATTTTTTGAAAAAAAAAAAAAAAAAGTATTTTGAAATAGTGATTTGATGGAAAATATGTGGTTAATAAGGAAAATTCTTTGGTTTGCGTGTAATATTATTTTGTTGAAGAATGTTGTTGAAAAGATGAGAGAGAGAGAGAGAAATTTATTTAAAAAAAAAGGGAATCAAACAAGCCTAAATTTGTATTTTCACTCCCAGTGGTGAGACGGCTGGCACGAGATTTTCGGTGTTCGGCTTAAGCTGTGAGTGCGATCCGAGCCAGTGGCTTGCCCCACTTATACCCCTACAAGAACCTAACAACTTATTATACTCTTGTTCCCAAAATTTGAGCATCTCCACTGTTAAAAAGTTCTTACAATCTTGCATTTCTATTTGGCACATAGTGGATTGTCACTGATGAAATAGGTGCCGTCAGATGAAGAATTCGTGAATTTGTGCATCTACTCAGACAAACGGAAGATCCAATTTATTTTAATACATCAGGGAAAACTCGCCTGTATTTATGTTGAATTATTTTTGCTGTAACTCGTTGCATCAATATAATGTTTACTATGTTTTGTGCAATGGCAAGTTCCTTAATTTCTTTTCCCATTTCATGGTTATTATTTCCCACTAAAGGTTAGCGAGATGGAAGCTATTCTTCAAGCACACAACTGTGCTGTGCCAGCGCGTGAAATTCTTGAAGCTCTTGCTCAGAAGTTTAGGTATGTGTTTATATGCTGTGGCGAATAATTTAAATACTTAGAATCCACTTATGGAAATTAAAAGTTTGTTTTTTGTGTAATTGCTGTTGATATAGTGCTTCAGCCGAAAGATCTGGAGTGGTTGAAGTTACGGTGAAACAAGTAATGGACTGCCCATTATGCACATGCTTAATTTTTTTGTTGATCTTTCTGTAACTTAAATTATTTGCAAAAGGTGTGGAATTGGTTCCAAAATAGGCGATATGCTGTTAGAGCAAAAGCCTCGAAGACTACTGTTCCTGCACAGATGAACATGCCTCAAGAAGATCACACTGCAGCTCGAATCGCACCTCAGACCCCTCAAACTCAGCCTGCTCCTTCAGGTAGCATTGAATTGTCTTATGTTAAGAACCTTCTAAATCTATTTTTTACTGTCATCGATATTAAGCAAGCTATTCAAGGTATTGTGCTGCTTGTATTTTTGTTCTAATTCGTATGATAATTTCATCCAGCTCCAGTGAAAAGTATGCCTCAAGTACCCCATCCTATTACTGCTCCTTCAGGTAAATGTTTAGTCGTTGACAATGATTTTATTATTTTTGTTTCTTTTTGACATCTTAATGTGCAAAATAAGTTCTTGTGGTCATTAGTATGACATGGACTTGGTGGTAAAAAATTACCTGTAGCGACCAAACCTTTAGGTTTAATATTTGTACACTTTTTTTTTTTTTTTTTGTGCCTAAGATCCATGAGTTAAAATTCAACATTCAAATATGCTTCCTTCAAACCATTGCACGCTGATCTTATTTACTAAAACATTTATTTCCAGGGCAAAGTGCAGGCAAGACTGCTTCAGATAATTCTCAGTTGGAATTCGAAGCTAAATCTGCACGGGATGGTGCATGGTTAGTTTTTTCGATCATGTCATTTATAGTTTTTATGGAATTATTTTTTATCACTCGTGTCCTGATAAATGCAGGTTCCTTTTAGTGAATGACAATGATTTTTTAAGTCACGTTTTTCTTCTCAGGTACGATGTCGCAACTTTCTTATCACATAGATCTTTAGAGACTGGAGATCCGGTACTTGGAGCTTATTTTAACTCTTAAAATTCATAGAAGAGAGCTTTTAACTTATTCTATTTTATTTATTTTTGTCATTCTTGTTAGATTATGGCTATTCTTTACAATGGATGACGTTTGTCAGTTTAATAAATTTCTTGAAATAGAATTATTTTCTTGATTTGCTAGGGCTTAGGTTGATTTTATTGTCCCTTTGTAGATCCTACTACAAGCATGATTATTTTTCAGCATTCTGTTGATTGACCATTGAAAATCATCCTTCCTCTTAATCTCATGTTTTAGGAATCAAAACCTACAAGCATTAAGCCATTTCACAATCACGATTGCTCATATAATTGTCCCTATTCGTCTTCTCTTCCCTTTAAAGGATTGAATTATGCTGTTCACTTCAGGAAGTTCTGGTTCGTTTTTCGGGTTTTGGACCAGAAGAGGATGAATGGGTCAATGTTCTCAAGAATGTAAGACAACGTTCACTCCCATGTGAATCATCGGAGTGTGCAGCAGTTCTTCAGGGAGATTTGATTCTCTGCTTTCAGGTGCAATATCAGGAAAAGGAAAAATGCAAATAGTAGTTTATGCAAAAAATTCAATATTAGTTAGATCTTATCTTATCTTTCAAATTGTAGGAAGGCAAAGAGCAGGCCCTCTACTTTGATGCTCGTGTGCTTGATGCACAAAGGCGAAGGCATGACGTAAGAGGATGCCGTTGTAGATTTCTGGTGCGATATGAGCATGATCAGTCTGAGGTATATAACTTCTATATCGTGAACTTAAGCCCTTGTTTGATGGCCATTATTAAGAAAAAATGATATTTTGAATGGTGATTTTTTGGAGAATGTGTGATTAAAAAGTAGGAAAATGTTTTGCGTTTACGTGTAAAATATTTTGTTGTGTGAATGTGTGATTGAAGATAGCGTGAATATTTAGAGTTTTGTTTTAAAGGGAAACAAACATGAGCTAAAATTTGTGTCTGGATGATACAATGTATACATGTTTGTGGATTTGACGATACCTTCCTCTCTTTCTATGTAAAGGAAATTGTTCCGCTGAGGAAGATTTGCCGTCGGCCTGAAACTGATTACAGGTTGCAGCAACTTCATTCTGGATCTGCTACCGTGAATGCACAAAAAACAGGTTCAGATCCTCGACCTGGAAACTCTTCAGTAGTCAATGCTTCATCAGCAACAACACAAAAACTTCCCACTCCTGTGCCCACCGGCGAATCTGAAGCACCAACACTACCAAAGATTGCCTAGGCTGGAAGTTTGATTTCTGTCAGAAATTCAGAACCTTAAAACGTACGTTGCTCCATTCTTAAGCTAACTTGGGACGAATGCTGCATTTACAAGTACTGTAGTTTGAACTGAAGTTGCTATCTCGTCTCCGTTTTCATTTGATATAGTAGTTGAGTTCGGGTTGTGTACCTTTTTTAGAGCGGAAAATAATCATATCATTTAACGTATTTGGGGATGGCACATTTCCATTTTTTTTTTTTTTTATCAAAATCTACTAAAATTTTTATCAGGAGCTTTGTCAAGCAACATTGAAGTGTATTTTCAAATTTTTAGATTTTTTACTTCAAGTTAAGCATTAAAATTGAACAAATAAATGTTGAACCAAATGCTTTATATTGCAAGCACCTCAATAGTAGAGGATTTCAAGCTCAAGCCAAAGAAAGGCAGATCTTGGCGTCGGGTTCCATTTATATTATTAACTTCACTGCCATCACTGCCATTCTTGTAACTATTACACGTAGATAAACTGTGGGTTTTGTTGAGATAGCTTTTCTTAGAGATTGATAATCAGTCTTGTTATTGATTTTTGAGCTCGAAACTCGAAAAGAGAGGAAGCAAATAGGCATTTGGCTCTTCTTCTTCTTTTCTTTTTTTTTATTATTATTATTATTATGACCATCGGTGTTCGGGTCAGTTCACGCGTACCTCGATTAATCCCACGGGGTCCTGAAGTTTACAGTCGGGTATTCATCTCAGTGGTCCTGAGGGGATTCGAACTGGTGATCATTAGAGAGCAAATCCAACAAATAGACATTTAGCTCTTGTTTGATCTCAATTTATAAAATTTATTTTTCCACAAATTCTTAAACATTTTTGGGATCTATAATTTTTATTAATTTTTCTATCAAGTATTTTTTCAATTTACCAAAATTTACTAAACAATTGATTATCAATTAAGATTCTTAGTAGTTTGATGACTCAGCCACTGATAAGTAGGATTTTCAATTAAAAATAGACGTCAAATTGAATCAATAGTCTGAATAAAACGTTTGTAAAGTTCAACGAGGAGTGAAATATTTAAAGTCAAATTCCAAAATTAAGTACCAATGTCAGCCATTATTAATTAATGCCTCATTATATGGTATTAGGTAGCATGAAAGTGAAATAACAAAAATAAAAGCAATAGCCTAAGTCATTTCACTAAAATAATTGAAGTTTTTGGCCTTTAGTCGTTGACGTAGAGTGAATTTTTTCGTGTTAAAATAATTAATTCGGGTCATAACATTTAAAAAATTCACCAAATGGATGAAATATTTGGACATAGATTTGCATAAATTGTGCACGTTACCTAAAATTTTTGATTTGAGACTTTTGGACATTTCTTGCATGTGACATTTCGTCAGGCAATAGATGCAAGGCGAGCTTGCTTTCATCTTGGATACGAGTTAACCAACTTTAGAATCTCGAGCTAAATCGTATTAATAATAGAAATGTCAATTACTTTATCTCTATGTTTAACAACGTGGATATTACGGCATGTTTAGTTTACCATTTCTTGATGGATTTTGTGTAGAATTTAAAAAATATTAGGTGTATCAAGAGTAAGTATCACAAGAAATAAATGCAACTAGCCTAAGAGCAGGTCAACAATCTCTTTCTCTTGTGCATAAGCAACCTTAGCTTTGCGTATGTTAGGCTAAGTCACCTCTCATCATAATCATCCAATTCTACATAATCTTCGACTCAAAAAACTCCCGAAGTTCATACATGAGCTCTTTGAAATTGGAACAAGCAAGGGACGAGCGACCACAAGTAGTGATGGCAAAAAAACCCGCCCTCACCAAGAATGGGGCCACAAAAACCCTCCCTGATGCGTTGGCGGCGCTGCCCCGTCTTGGGGTGCAGGGGTGGGGCTGCCCCACCCTGTGAAGAGAAAAAAAATATAAAAATGATTTTATTTTCGGCAGGCTTTTTAGTCTTTTTCAAACTACATATTACTTGTCCATTTTGCTCTTGTTTCTTTACATTATCTGTTCACATAGAAATTCTTTCTTTAAGCGAACAAAATTCGTTTCGAGTTTCACAAGGATGCTACTGACCATACATTCATGAGGATTGATAGAAACAATCTCTCCCGTTGGATGATGAAACTATTGCAGTCGAAATTTCCCACTTCGGCCAAGTGAGAATGCTCGCAAAATTCACCATACACACATGAAGATTCGCAATGATGAAGAATTTGAAGAGAACTCAGAAGAGCGGAAGAAGTTAGGTGCAGCCTGTACTTACTTTCCGAATACCGGATGGAATTGATATTGCACATCGTAGTTGAGAGGTCAATATACGGCCGTGATGTCTCATTTTCCTTTCTTCTCTCTTTATATATTCTTCTATTTTCTGCAAATTGGAGTACCTGCATTGACTGGTGCTACTTGCAAGTTTATCTTCCGTAGCAGTAGCACCCATCATTTATTTTACTCTCTTGTTTTTTTTTTTTATAAACTGTTCAAAATAATTTTCAGGACAAAGCTATGTGTACAGAGATCTTACCTACCCCTCACTTGGAATCGGTCCCACGTGAGTCTCGATGTAATAAAAAAAAAAAATTTCGACCCCACCCCTTTGTGAGAACCCTATAAGGGTTCTGTAATGTGCCGGGCTGTACACCCAGCACTACCCTAATTTTCATTGTTATATGTACAGGTGGTATATAAATACAGCAGTGATGCTGTGTGTACAGAGTATTTTTCTCAGAATACTTCGCGTGGGTGGGTATTTTTTTATTACACTATGGGACCCATGCATGTGAGTGTTTGAAGGACTTCCGTGAGGGACAGCATTTTTGTAAATACAAACCATGATGCATTTTTGGACATATCTGCACGTTTCTCCACCTAATTGGTCTAAATCCATTGGCACAATCCATGATGCACATAAAACTACCACCTAAAACCGGGGCATTTTCCTTTCTGCTGGTAAAACCTCCCCCCAATTTCTTTGTATATAATCTCATTTTCTCCCCATTATTTTTCATCATCAATACTCTCCCTCTCTCTCTTTTGAAAAAAAGGGGCATCAAACGGGGCAAGCCGCCGCCTCACGCCTAGTCCCAAGACCAAACCCGACCCGCTACTATCCCTAACCACAAGCTCCCCTTAAACGTTCAACGTGTAGTTAGCTTAAGACATGTTCATCATGAGGGCCGAGCGAAGCGCAACTCTGTGAAACATTTTCTCGCTCTTTAAAATCTACACCTTTCAAAATCTTACCTTATTTTGATCGTTCAAAGGGCGATTGTAGGATCATTGAATAATATCCTCCAAAACTATACACTATTAGTATAATTTATAAAATATAAATAAATATGGCATCATTCACGATCGAAGCACTAGAGAAAATTGTTGTCAATCCACATATAATTAGTTATTTAATCAAATCTAGTATAAATATTTAATTGATGTCAATAACAAAACCATCTCAAATTATTAGTTAAGTTCAAACTTATTGGTGTTAGAGCCAGGTTACGATCCTCAACCTTGGGTCATGAAATTTGTATTGCTTTTCGGGTTAGTATAGTCGATTTTAAAAGAAATATTCTTTCAAAAATTTCACTAAACCCCGTTTGGTAACAATTTTTCACGTCAAAAAATCAATTTTTTGATTGTTACTTTACTATTTCAGTCGTCATTTTTTACTTCTTCATTCACAGGTGGAACCCACTTTTCTCTCTAACGGTCAAAAAATCAATTATTATAAGTACTACCAAACAAGCCTAAATCATTTATACTCAAAAACAAATGATAGCAAGTCTTGATGATGAACCTTGTCCATTGAAGTAGTAAAATGACTGGTCCTTGCATAAGGTCTAGCATAGAATTATTCTTCCAGATATAGATGAATGTACTCATCTCTATCTGTTAATGTATATAAATTTGTTAGGTACACTAAAGCAGCCTTGATGACCATAAAATTTTCTCAAGCCAACTTTAGTTGAACCAAATCCATCATAAAATAAAGAATTTTAGACCTGCTACCATTACCATTAATCATTACTTTCCAATTCCTAATTACTCAGTACATGTGAAGAACAAAGAGATGGGGCTTACATTAAAGGAAGAACTCTTGGATTTTTTTCTAGTCCCAAGTGGCTTACTGCTCATGCTTGGATATCATCTATTCCATCTCCACAGATGCCTAAATTTCCCTAATACCACAGTTATCGGCTACGAAAATCATAACAAGAAGGCTTGGGTTCTTCGAACCCTACAGGTCAGTAGCACTCGACCATATTGAAAACATAAGTTAGAATCTTGTTTGTTATACTGATCGGGCCATTTGCAGGTTGAAGCCAAGGAAAGAGGGCAAGCTATAGCTGTGATCAACAGCAACATATCTGCAGCAACTTCACTGGCTTCGATGTCACTGGCTTTGAGTTCTCTCATGGGGGCATGGCTTGGTAGCGTCTCCCACAATGATTTCATAAGCAGTAATATCTATGGAAATAAAAGCTCGACTGCTGTTTCCATCAAGTACATAGCTCTTCTGTCATGTTTTCTGGTTGCTTTTGTTTGTTTTGTTCAGACAGTAAGGTGTTTTGTTAATGCCAATTTCCTCATAAGCATGCCGGATTGTGAGGTTCCTACTAGCCATGTGGAGAATGCAGTTATAAGAGGAAGTAATTACTGGGTAATTGCCTTGAGATCGCTCATTTTTGCCAGCAATTTGCTGCTTTGGATTTTCGGTCCAATCCCAATGTTTGTTTTCTCGGTGATAACAGTAGTAGTGCTGCATAATCTGGATAAAAATACAACCCCGTTGCCTCAGTATAAGACAACACCAGTCAGTTATCACCCGGAGAAGAATGACAAGGAAATGACTGCAGTCAATAGTACTAATGATAGTTGTAAGAGATTAGATACAGCTGAAGAAGAACATCAAGCATCTGATTATGATCAAATTGTATGTGAAGCAAATCAGCAATACGTGACAGAAAACTATAACGGGGATGAAAGAGGATAAGCTCACTTCCCTGCACCTCTTTTTGTAAGATACCGCTGCTGTATAACTGTACAAATATGATTTTGTACTCAACACTACATGAAATAAATAGCCTTTTTTTGGAGTTTCCATTTACGATCTTTACTTTAATTCCAGCAGACATG